GGCGTCTAGGTGGGCGTAGGCGGACCTAGGCGCTCCTAGGCGGGCTCGGCGACAATTTTTCATTTAATTATTTTTTATTTTTTAAATACTAATTACATTATTTTGTTCTCATGTTTTTTTAATATATATTAATATTATTATTTGAACTTTGGTGTGTGAATTTATTATAAGTTGAGATAATTTTATTTTGTAGGTAGTTAAAATAAATAAAAAATAAGGCATTTAATATTGATTTCTGGGCCCCTACTAGGCCCCGACTAGGCGCTCTAGGCGCTGGTCGAGCGCCTAGCGACTTTTAGAACACTGATAGCAACTCGCTAGGCCCCGATAGTCGGTACTGGACGACCCAGGCTTCGGCCCTCGTCAGAGGGAGGAAGCCCGCAACTAGAGGAGAGGCCCACCTGTTATATATATATATATATATATATATATATATATATGTGGGGTAAAGAGAGAATAAATGGAGAGAGAATTGTACTCATTATCTATTCGCTTAATCATTTTATATACCATATGTTTGGTCTGTCCATCAGTTTTTGTACTTTTCGTTGGTTAGCACTTAGTCATCTTTGACTGGCGGCTGACCTGTTACAGCAGGTGAAAATATTTGTATGGGAGGGGGGAACTCACTTTTGGTACTCGAAGTATACCACCTGACTTATGGTACTTGATGTTATAAGTTAATCATTTTTAGTCACTAAAAGTGTGTTCATAAATTCAATTCATACTTAAAATGTAATCAACTTTAACACAACCCCACTATCTTCAAAAATCAATATAACTAAATTATACTGATTCATATTCAATCAAATAGTTATGTACTATTTATTTTAACCAATGATTAAATATTAAAATATAATATCATTATCTAACTTATAACCTTAATGGATAACTATAACTTAATATCCTATGTTTAAATTTTAAGACCATTATTTAATTTATAATTTTAATATTACATTCATATAAATAATTTATAATACTTTATTTATGTATGTACAAATACACTTAGTTGAATATAATTTATAATCTCAATAAGGTGAGTGATTTGTTCGACAGTGAGGGGCTGAATTGGAAAACTAATTTAGTCAGGGAGGTTTTGAGTGTGGAAGAGGCCGATTTGATTCTAAAACTTCCTTTAAGTTTGTGTGGCAGTAAAGATAGGCTCATTTGGCATTATACTCCTAACCGAATATTCCCTGTTAAATCGGCATACCAGGTGGCTCAGGAAAGGCAATTCAGGTAGTCTGATATTCCTCAATCAAGCAGAACCGATCAGAAGCTTTTCTGGAGCAGGATTTGGAAACTCAATGTGAAGAAAAAGATTTGCCATTTTATATGGAGATGTTGTCATGGAGTTCTAGCAATAGGTGAGAAATTATTTTCAAAAGGGATGATGGTGGAGAGAATCTGTCACAGTTGCGGGGAGGGAGTCGAGAGCTTGGAACATATCTTATTTAATTGTGAGAAGGCAAAACAGGTGCGGCGATTGGCTCCTGTGCAATGGATAATGATAGAAAAGCAGGTGGATCATTTTAAAGATTGGTGGGAAACAGTCGGAGAGATGAAGGATGAGGGGTGCCACGAAGAAAGAATACAACTCTCTGTGTATATTCTATGGGGAATTTGGAAGGCATGGAACAAGTGGGTTTTGAGGAGCGAATGGGTGCAGCCGGGTCAAATAGTGAATGGAGCTTGGTCTGAGTGGATTGAGTGGAAAAACCTTGAAGAGACTCGGGCCCTCAGAAGGATAGAAGTAAGACAGGTATATTGTCAGGTACTCAGGATCAGGGGGATAGGGTCGTGGGTGCAAGTGAACAACCAGAGGTGGAGGTAGGGTGGATTCTCGTTTCTACCAGTGCCAAAACTAATGGTGATGGTTCAGTGGGGATGGGCGGAGTTGCGTGGAATGCTGACGGACAAAAGCTTAGGGCTTGGTGCTCTTTTAGAGATCCAGCCACAGGAATCGAAGAGGATATTCTTGCTTCTATCAGGTTGGCGTTGGTTAATGCTGTGCAAGAAGGTTGGAAGAAGATTATTATACAGGTAGATAACCAAGCTATTGCGCAGAAGCTCAGTCAGAAGCGCTGCTTTTCGAGGAGTCAATCCGTTATAGCTGAAGATATTTACTTGCTACTGCTTTTGTTTGAAAGTTGTACTTTTACTGTTTCATCAAAGTTTGGTAGATTAGCTAGCTGCAGGGTTTCTGATTTTGCACTTATGGGAGAATCTTCCTTTGTGTGGATGTCTCCTCTTCCTGATTGGATCTAGGCTATCCTTGCAGATTGTATTGTCAGTTGACAACCCTCTTGTAACTTCTTTGTGAGTTTAATATAATGNAGGGATATAATTGATATTAATGGCCCCTACATTCCGTTTAATGGATATGAATAGCACAGCCTAACATGTTTTACAATATTTAGTTAGGTTTCACATGTCATGATACAATATTTTGTATTCACCTATAATTATTGATTATTGTCTTAGACTATCTTTATCAACAATCCAACCCAACCCAACCTAAACAATTAAAAATTATTTCTCACTCATCTACTTACACAACCCAACTTTACAACTCAACTTATCTTTATCCCCAACCCAACCTAACCTAAAATATTTATTTTATTTTTATTTATTTATTTATTAAGTATTATCTACATTTGATTTGTGTTATTATTTTAAGCGTGACAAATTAATTAACAAATTATAAATAAAGTCGTAATTATTTTAAAAAAATTATAATCTAAAATAAAATTGCTAACTCAATTAAAATTTAAAATTATAAAAATTAGAACAAAAAATAAAATTTGTTAAACAAGTTACAGATAATTTGAATAAAATCACAAATCAATTATCATTACTAAATTAAAATTATGTTCCAAAATATATCATATGTGGTCTCTATTTATAGAGAATGAAAAAATACGAATTTTGATATTTTTTATTTTTATTTTTAATATAAATTAACTCTTAAAAATATAAATTATTTTTTATCTTATTAAAAAAATACACTTGTCCAACAAAAATTGGACAAGTGTCCCAAATTTCTCTCCCAACCGGTTGTGACCCTTGGTCACATTGTGACTTGGGTCATGCCTTTTTGTTTTTTTTTTTTTTTTTCTTTTGTCTTTTCCTGGTGACCCAACCATTGGGTCACCGATAAACAAAGTCTTATTGATGTCATGTCATATATCTCAACAAATTAAAAGAAATTTTACAACTTGCAACGAGGATATCATTTTTTATACAATTAAATAATAGGTCAATTCCTCGTTTGGATTGGATAAAATCATCTTTTTTTATACTTCCAAGTTCCAAGATATATCACACACATCAAATCCCAAACAACTGAGCAACAGCTACTCTCTCTACCATATCTCTTTCCTTCTCTTAATCTCTTCCCGCCGCCGCCGAGCCAATCTTGTTATGTCCGCCGACCGCCGCCGAGAACCTCCTCTCTCCACCGCAGCCCTCCGCTTTCCACGCCCCCGCTTCTTTCGGTTCCGCCGCCTGAGGTGATTTTAAACTAAACATAAATATTACACCAGAATATACAGAAAAACAATTATTTACACTGCCGGCAAAATAATACTCCGCATAATCAATGCCGTCGCCGAAGAGTCATGGGCGATTAGGAGGTCCGGCGAAGAGCAGGAAGGGGCGGCCGCCGGAGAAAGCCTCGTCCTTCCACGGCAGGGGCGCCGCCACCGTGGCGGCGGAGATACTCCCGCGGCCGAGGACGGTGCCGGACTTGCTTTCCGGGACGAGATCCGCCGTGGCCGCGGCGGCGGATCCGGCGGCCGGGAAGTTCCCCGCGAGGCTGACGAAGCTGCTGCTGCACGTGACCGTGCAGAGGAGCCCGGGGGCACTGCACGTGCTGATGCCGCCGGAGGCCACCGTGGAGGAGCTGATTGCGGCGGTGCTGGGTGAGTACGTGAAGGATGGGCGGCGGCCTTTCCTCCCGTCGGGCCGGGCTTCGGGCTTTGACCTCCATTACTCGCAGTTTAGCCTTGAAAGTAAGCCCAATTGATCCGCTTTCTCGTTGAATTTTTGTTCGGATAAATATTGAAAAAATTACTATAAAGTGAACCATCCATGAATTTGAAGTACTTGCCGAAAATTGTTCAATCAGGTTCTATATCAAAACGGCAAAATGTTTAAAAAAAATAAAGAAATAAGAAAAAAAAAAAAATAAACATTGCTCGTCTAAGTCTTGTAAGCCATTAGAGTTGTCCTTACATAAATTAATGGCGGACAAACCTAACGATTAGACCGATAGGAATTTTTCAAGTATATGTTTATGCATTCAAACTTAAAATATCAACTTTAAAAATTGGAATAAATAATAATATGATCATAGCATAAATATATATTTTTATTAAAAAAATACGATTAAAATGTTATACACATAAGAATTTGTGCCCGGGCATTTTTTTTGTCGAAATAAAGTCGTAAAATCGTGTGCCATTGAAATATCGTACAACGAGGCAAACATGAAGTTGAACAGTCAAAAGAATCCATTATTAGGTGTGAATAATTGGGCCAATTGGAATGGAATATGTAACAATTTGAGGTCTGGACAGGTCTGGATAGGGACCAGAAACTAATGGACTTGGGCTCAAGAAACTTTTTCCTTTGCCCAGCGGCGGAGCCCACTGTGGGAAGTTATGGGGCTGCAGAGGCTACCACGTCAGCTTCAAATTGTTCAATAGAAGCTGGCACGCCGACGAATAAGAAAGGCTTAAATTGGCTCAAATTCGTAGATTTCCTGTTTTGAGGAATCATTATTCATTAGCAGCATTTGTCTCCACAACTTGGGGAATTTCTTTCATTTCTATTACTACTACTATAAGTTTTTCTTTGAACATGTAATATTCGGCGGCTGAGGTCGGCAAATTAATAACTATTAATTGTAAGATGAATGTAACGCATATTTGTATCTTTATGTGGCCCATACTATTGTGGGGACACAGCCAATTGAACTCCACAGGAAGATATAATAAACTTGCATAATTGTGTCAATGTGCCCCGAAAATGATTTTAATCTACCACAACTTGTGGTGGAAACAGACCAAATGATCCGAGCTTATGTTTTTTTTTTTTTTTTTTTTTTTTTCATATTTTTTCAAAACGACAGATATTATAACACTTAAAATGTACAGAGTTCGGGGGCTGACTAGCCCGAAGTGCTAAAAATCATAATGGGGATCTCAAGAGAGCATACAAAGAAGAACTAAAACTACTAAGGGCTAATCACCGGCAATGGCTAAACAAAGAACCTGGTTACTAGTATTTACAACCAGCCACAGTATCAACACAATAGAAAAATACCCGCAGCAACAAAATTAACTTACCACTGGTCAAACAGGAACCTAGTAAGTTAACAAAAACGGCAAAAATCCAATTTTGGTCCGCTAACTTGTCTATTTTCCACTTTTGGTACACTATCTTTCCCCTCATAAAAAATGGTCCGTTATGTTAGATATTTCATCAGTTTTAGTACGCCACTCCAGTTGGCGGGATTACAAGATGACGTGGACCGGGATTGGAACTACGTGAAGGGATAAAATATTGACGTGATAGGATAAAAACCCTGATTTGGCATCTCGTAATCCCGGACCACGAGATTAGTGTACTAAAACTGATGAAAAGTGTAACATAATGGACCATTTTTTATGAGGGGAAAGATAGTGTACCAAAAATGGAAAATTGACAAGTTAGCGGACCAAAAATGGATTTTTGCCTAACAAAAACTAACAAACAACTACTAAGAACTACAGAGAAGAAGAAACAGTAGAAAATTCGACCCAATCATTAAGAGCGGCTCTGACAGTTCGAATCTCTAATCTTAGAGTGTTGCTAAAGCTCATGTTTGTTTATATTCAATACATATGTTCGAGCTACAGGTGAAATTCTTCGTCAAAGTTCTAACTATTTATGTTCGAATAATTTAGTAAAAAAGAATACTAAATTTGTTTGATTAAACTATAGTTTGGTTTGTTTGAATTCGATCAAGAAAAAAATAAAAAAATAATATAGATATATAATTTTCTATATTATTTTTTCTTTAGTAATATTATACAAATAAATAATATACTCCCTCCTATTTTTATTATTTTCATTAACCCTATTTAATGAATGTTATGGGAAACGATGGAGATGGGACACTGTGTATAGATAATTTGTAGGTATTTGTAGAAAAATTATATTGATAATTTGAAGTTTTTTTTTAGTATGATTAATAGTGTTCTCACGGGACACTGTGTATAGATAATTTGTAGGTGTTTGTAGAAAAATTGTATTGTTAATTTGAAGTTTTTTTTAGTATGATTAATAATGTTCTCACTTCTCCTCCTCAGGTACTCGAACCCATGACGTACCGGATATAGGTGAAGCGTCTTACCACTCAAGCTGCGCTTCGTTGTCAAATAATCTGAATGTGTTTTCAACATGTTTTTTCATAAATAACATATATTTTATTTTATTATTTATTATGCAAATAAGGTTGAAAATATCACAGACCTCAAACGCTCTGCCCCAATTCTCACGATAATGGTAAATTAATGCAGTCTTCAATCTTAATGAAGACAAATAATTTTATTTTAAATTAATGTATTGTAAACACGTAATTCATGATTTGGTTCAAAATATCAGTTTAAATATTACGTACCCATGGATACGGACTAGTAATAGAAAACACGAGGAGAGGATAAGAAACCTTGTTCTGGAATGCATAATATATTTGTTTAAAGTACCAAAACAATATCAAGGTGGTTTGCCCGAGTGGTTAAGGGGGAAGACTTAAGATCTTCTGCACATAAGTGCGCGTGGGTTCGAACCCCACAGCCACCATAAACGTCAATTTTTATTGTTGCTCTTTTTGCTACCACCATAAATTTCAATTTTTATTTTTGCTCTTTTTGGTTTCTGTCTTTATTGTTGCTCTTTTTGCTACCACCATAAATGTCAATTTTATTTTTACTCTTTTTCGTTTTTCTCTTTGTTGCTTCTTTAATTTTGCTTTTACTCTTTATGTTGTTTTTAAGTTTTAACTCTTGATGATTCATATACAACGCGGACGCATAATTTTTTATGGCAATTTCACATGAAATGAATTTTTCTTTTTTAAAAAAAAAAATTAACTTCAATTGAAAAAAAATTACAACTTTTAGTCAATGACGGGGAAAGGTAATTGTCCACAACGCAATTTCATATTTTGAATCCGATACATGACGGGAAAATGTAATTGTCCACGATGCAGTTTCATATTTTAAAACCGATGCATTATAGCATCATTGCTAATGCTATTAAATATATCTTTCTCAATGTAAACAAGTAAACTATCATTCATCCATTGATCTCCCATTATATTACGGAATGGATTCTTCACGATATTCATAGCAGAAAATACTCTTTCCAGTGAAGCAGTAAGAAATAAAGCTAACGTTAAAAGGTTGCAGATGAATGCATAAGTTTTATGCTTTCTTGTCTCCACCATATTCTTTGCAAGACCACCAAGTTCTTTAAGCTGAAAAAAAAAAATCAAGCAAAAGCAATCCCGTTCCCGTCAGCCGTCCGTCCTTGACAGTTAAGAAGAAATTTTCTTTTGGATTCTATGTATTGCCTAATTCATGAAGATCGGGCAAATTAAAGATGGAAGATGAATTGATGATTAGATGAGAGATGGCAGATGGGTGGTGTTCGGGCGAGCAATTTTCAAATTAATGAAAATTTTTATTACGAAAGAAATTAGGGATCTTCACAAGACTGGTGAGTTAAAGTTTTTTTTTTCATTTTCCTGTGTACCTGCGTGCGTGTGTAGTAGGGAGAAAACAAGTATTTTATTTTATTTATTTCTTTTTTACCTTTTAAGATAAACGACGTCGTTTGGCTTCTAAATTTTTATAATTAAATGGAAGCAAAAAATGACGTCGTTTTATAGGCTGATTTAAAATAAAAATACCTTACCCAGTTCATCTTCTTCCCTGCTCGTACAGTTCCATTTTTGTCATTTTTTCACCAAACAATTTCTATTAAAAATTGTAATAACATATCTTTAGCAGCAAAAATGCCCAACTGCCCAAGCTCGCCTAAGAGTCAATCCGCCCCTGCATATATATTCTTTANATGTTGCTTTTAAGTTTCAAATGATTTTAACTAAACGTTTTGGATCAAGTACCAGAAAAATTTTATATAAAGTTTAAAGTTATATATTTCCAAACTATCACATAATTAAATGTCAAACATCTTTTTAAATGCATTAACATACACATCGAGGTATCAATAAAAATAATGTGCTCATACTCCACTTAAAATGTTTTGGTTGAAATAATTAAATCCACAGGCATCTAATGAACTACCCCTTGTGATATTACTTATTAGCAGGGTAGTTCACATCTAAAGAATGAAGTACCAAAAAAGCTGATTAGTTCCCGCCGCTATCTGATCTTTGAACTTTAAGTTTACGCAACTAGGATAATGTCAGAAGTGATCCTAGCTATAGATGAGGGAAAGGGGAACTCTATAGATTCACATTCCTCAACAACTGTGGCAGTGCACAATATTGGTTTAATATTTTATATATTGTGTCTTTTAAACCAAAATGTAATATAAAATTATTAAATAAAAATATTAGAATAATGAATTTATTTTTATAATATAAATAACAAATCATCTATTATTTAGATTAATTCAGTAAATCAATCAAATGAATGGATTATTTCAGATCGGGTCATTTGGTATGAATCATATAACTAAATATGTTCGTTATGTAAGTGCACAATAGTAAAAGACGAATTGCACATTCATGACTATCAGACTGCACATTAAAGGCCAAAACTTTCCAACCTCGAATTCTCAGTTAGAAATTTTATATTACGGTTCGATCATCAATTTTTTACTCTTAAATCAGGGTTATTTCAGTTCGATGTCGTCTTTATTTTTAAAAATAACCGAAATGATCGATCCGATCGAAAAATATTAAAAATAGTATTGTTATTATTTTATTTTTTATGCATAGCGGGTGCACATTAGGGTTGTATGAATTGCACATTAGTTACTATTAGATTGCACAATATCTAACGAAACCGACCAAAATAATTTTTTTCAGTTCAAAATTTTAAATTTCAGACCAATTGTCTTCCTTTACTTGTAAAAAACTTGGTTATTTTGATTGATGTCAATTTTTGTTTTCTAAATTACATAACAAAATAACGAGAGTCCAAAATGTATAAAAATATTGTTATCATTTTTTTATATCTTTTATGCAATATATTATCTATTTTCAAATATTAAATAAAGAATATTGAAATATTAATTATAGTTTAATTAATTATAAATTTAACCCATGAACTTAATTGTAATATATGAAAACTTCTGAAATTACAATCAAGTCCTTAGGAGTTATCAAATTTACAAAATGAAGTCCTTTCATTAAAATATGAAACTCCCGTCTCACAAGCCAATCCTTACCGCCGCCGTGCCGTCGTTGGGACTACTGTGACCCTCCGGCTCCGTGTACGGCGAGGCTGATTTCTGCAACTATGGGCTGATGAAGGTAGGAGCTACGTCGGGGTAGTCGGCGATGTCTGACTGATGGCGGCGACGGGCTGAGACTTAGGTGTGGACCGTCATGGCGAACGACGGACGGTGTACCTGGTTGTCTGGCGGGGGTTTGATGGAGGTCCATGGATTTTTCGGGTGATCCGGCGAGGGTCAGTGATGTGCAAGGACGAGGTGGCGGCACGTGTAGAGGAAACCTTATGTGCGTCAGAGAGGGTACCGGTGTGGACGCGGGCAGCGGCTGGCGGGAGACGGAGATGGCGCCAGTTGTCAATTACTCAGGTCGTGCGACATGTGTGTGTGGTTGAGAGAGAAAGAGCTGTCTGAAGGGATGGCCTGAGATATGAATGAATTCATAATTACCACTTTGTCCTTAATTAGTGGTTGAATGATTATATTTTAGCAAAATTTGTACACTTATTTAAAATTTACCACTGCATGTTTAACTGCTATATTTGAATTTTGACTGGATTATAATCATTGATATGTTAAATCCAATGGTCCAAATTTATTCTCGTTTCTTTCACTATTTATCATTCTCATATGATCTCAACTCTCTCTCTCTCTCTCTCTCTCTATATATATATATATATATATATATATATATTTATGTTAAATATAAGAGTTTTTAGACATATTTTCTTTACAAAATAGTTTAAAATTATTTGGGTGATTTCACATTTGTCAAGAACATATAGAATAATTTAGATACTGTTATATATGTCATATAATATTTTAGTTGTCTTTTTCAAAAATAATATAGAATATTTTAGATGCTCATACATATGTTAAATAATATTTAGGTGCTTTCAATATTTTAAATGTACATGTTTTAAGTTCTTTTATACAAAATAATTTTATATTATTTACAACAAACTGATATAAGTAAGTTATATGAAATGATAACCCCAAATCTAATTTGTAATTACTATTTAATATTATTTATCGATCTCTTTAATTATAATTATTATTTAATATTATTTTTCGTGCATTGCACAAGGTACGCACCAGTTAATATTATTTAATATTAGCCAAACACAAAAATGGAAAAAAATATCAACATGTCAAGCAACTGAATGACAATAAATAGGAAAAACATCAAAACAAATAAATATGAAACAAGATAAACAGATAAACATGGAAA